AAAACACCCAGCTGATTTTCAATGATGCGAAAGCAATTCAATGGAGAAAGGACAGCCTTTTCAACAAGTGGTGCTGAAGCAAAGACATCTATAGGGGGAAAAATGAACTTCAGCTTAAACTTTATACTTTATACAACAGTTAACTTGGATCAAAGAATTAAATGTAAAACACAAAACCACAATTCTTTCATGGAAAAAAAAAAAACCCAAAACCATAGGATCTGAAACTAATATACTGTTGTATAATTTTAAATAAAAAGAAAAAAGTAGCTTAGGAAAATCTTCAGGCTCTAGAGCCAAACAGAGTTCTTAAATTTGGCATCAAAGAAAGAAAAGTGGATAAATTGGACTTCATCAAAATTAAAAACTTTTGCCTTGCAAAAACTCTGTTAAGAGAATGAACAAATTACAGACTGGGAGAAAATACTTGCAAACCACATAACTGACAAAGAGCTTATAGCTAGGATACATAAAGAACTCTCAAAACAACACTATAAAAATACAATAGAAAATGGGCAAAAGACAAGAACAGACATTTCATCAAAGAGGATACACAAATGGCAGATAAACATACGAGAAGACATTCAACATCATTTAGAAAGTGGAAATTAAAACCCAATGATATGTCACTACACGACTATCAGAATGGCTAAAATAAAAAATACTGAAAATACCAAATGCTGGTGAGGATGCAGAGAAACTGGATTACTCATGCATTGCTGGTGAAAATGTAAAATTGTACAACCACTCTGGAAAACAGTTCGGTACTTTCTATAAAACTAAAAATGTACTTACCATATGACTGAGCAATTGCCCTCTTGGACTTCATCAGAGAAATGAAAACTTACATTAACACAAAAACCTGCACATGAATGTTCACAGCAACATTATTCGTAACAAAGGCTTAACTGGGCTGGATATCTCAGATGGCTTCTTTACTCACATGTCTTGTGCCTAGGCTAGGATGACAGGAACATTACAGGCTGGTTGAGCATCTTGCTCTCCATAGGCTAGCTGGGGCTTCCTGATAGTATGACAATCTCAGGGTAGCAGACTACATAAATGATGGTGAGCTTTTCCCAGAGCAAGCATTCAAGAGGCAGGAAGTAGAAGTTGCCAGTTTCTTAAGTCCTGGGTCTGAAACTGGCATAGTGTCATTTCTGCCGTATTCTATTGGCCAAAGTTGTCACAGAGCCCACCCAGATTGAAGCAGAGAAAATACAGACCCGACCACTCATGGAATGAGGGTCAAAGAACTTGTGTCCGTTAAAAAGAGAAAAAAGAAAAAAAAGCTTTATAGAGGTAGGATTGACACACAATAAACTGTACATATTTAAAGTGTACAATTATGTAAGTTTTGACTTGTGTACAGCCATGAAACATTACTACAATCAAGATAGTGAACATATCCATTATCCCCCAATGTCTCCTCATGCCCCTCTGGAATCCCTCCTTCTCTGCAATCCCACCCCGCAACCCAGCTGTAAGAGATCTATTTTTCTGTCACTATAGATCAGTGTGCATTTTCCTAGTTTTACATAAGTGGAATCATACAGTATGCAGTCCTTTTCAGTATGGCTTATTTCACTTAGCAAAATTTATCCATGGTTGCTGCACATATGAACATGTCATTCCATTTATTTGCCAAGTAGTGTTCCATTATAAAAATAAAGCACAATTTGTTTATCCAGTCACCTGTTTCTAATTGAGATGCCTCCCTCCTCCCTCTTTTCTTGCTATATTGTACTGGCTAGAAGCTCTATTATGATACTGTCTAGAAGGGATGAGTACAAAACTTTATCTTACCCTTGTTCTTACAGGAAAGAATTTAGTCTTTCAGCATTAAGTGGATATTAGCTGCAGATTTTTCATAGATCCCCTTTATCTGGTTGAGAATGTTTCCTTCTATTCCTAGTGTGATGAGAGTTTTTATCAGGAAAAGATGTTATATTATCAGATGCTTTTTCTACGTCTTTTGAGATAATCATAGTTTTTCTTTTTAGTTAAATAGTGAATTACATTTATTGATTTTCTAATGTTAAACCAACAGTGCACTCTGGGATAAAGCCATTTGTTCATGATATATTATTCTTTTTACATATCATGGTTATTTTTAATATACAACAAATGCAATAAAGAGAAAAGTACAATTATTTTTGCTTATTTGATAGAAAACAATCTATTTTATTTACCTCATATACTTGATAACTCTCAAATTCATATGGCTTTAATAAAGATTGGAAAAACTTTAAGTTAATGTGGAAACTTCCTTAGTGGTAATGTCATATAGAATTGGAGTAGTATGCCATTTCACAAATGTCTAGATGCCAGGCTTTTTTTTTCAAATTTGTGGGAATTTCAAAGGAACTCTAACAGCTCTGTAGCTGCTGCTCAGTGAAGATGTATTTAAAATAGAGGACACAGAGAAGCTTCTAAAAGCTTCTAGGTACCTACCGTTATCGTCTTTAAGCATTTAAACATTTTCTTAATGATTTTATTAATTTTCTTACAGCAAACCTAATTTTCTATCCTTTGTAACTTGATTCTTAATAGAAACGTTCATGAGTTGTTGGTTTGCCTTCCTTATTTGTATGTGCTTATTCAGGGAAAACTTCAGAGGCTTCAGAATAGTGTTTGTTAACAGGTATATATTCCAATGTAATTTTTAATATGCTTATTGGGGACACCACTTACAATCCTGGCTCTCAGCTCCTTCACTTAATGGATTGCAGTCACTTTCCTACACTTTGAAAATTAGATCAGGAGCCCACTTTACACATACACAAGAAATAGAGAAGAACAGATGCTCTGCCACAAGATCAGAATCAATGAGCTGAGGTCCTGTATTTTTTTTTTTTTTGCTCCTTTTATTTATTTGTCGGTGGGGGCAGTTATCTTTGTTTGTGTGCTGTGCCTCTCAGACTTGGTTCGTCCTTTGGTGCTCATTTGTTTCCTAGATCTTTGGCCTACACTGTACCAAGGTAAATGTAGGCTCCTACGTTTATTTTTCTACATTTTCAGTTTATATCATACACTGACATGTGCTTAGCTCTGTCTTGGTCCAAGCTTCTGGTTCTACCAGCCTGATCCTAAATGACCCCAGGTCTTGGTAGGATAATTCCACTAGTCCTTCAGAGACCAAAAATATTATTCTTCCTTTTGTGTATTTAAAATTATTGTGATTTTACCTGTTAGCAATATATCGATATTTTTGTTTCAATAAACTCTACAAAACTTCAAAGAGAGTTATAATTATTTAAGGGTCAATGCAAATGTCATACAAGTAAGACATCATGCAGTAATTTTTTTCCTGGAAGAAGGAAATTAATTAGGAAAATGAAAAATGATTGGCAGAATCTTTTGTATTGTATTTCATTAAAAAGTACACTGTGAGTTTCAGTTTGGGAAGATGAGAATGTTCTGGAGATGGATGATGGCGATGGTTGCACGATGTAAATGTACTTAATGCCACTGACATGTATGCTTAAAAATGGTTAAAACGGTAAATTTTATATTATGTATATATTACCACCTAAAAAAGGTATACCAAAAAATTATACTATTTTTTAAGATCTATATTAAAACATACTCCTTCATTTTAAGCTAAGTGACACTCTCATTTCTTAAAATATTCATGTAATAAACATTCTTCAGAAACTCTGTTTTCTAAATTGTTTAACAAATTGCTTGAGTTTTTCTGACTACAAGGTCTGCTGGAGAAAGGCACAGAACTTGCTGTTAGAAAAGTAAAAATGCATTCTTATAGCCAATGGTATCGGGTCTTCTTGCGTACAAACTCATCATCCAAAACAGGCTTTCAAGCTTTCTCGATTTTGAAAAATGGAGACTTAAGTGATGCCTCTAAAACTGGAGATTTAGATTACAGATGGCTCTACAATACTGAAATCTTGAGGGCAAGGATGTTTTAGTAATTGTGCAATTGCCAGAACTAGGCAGTAGATGGCATTTTTGTAGGCATGTGTGTATAAGTATGAAGGTACGGCTTCGGTTTTCTCTACTTTCTAGGCTAAATCTCACTATCAGGTGTGCAAATTAATGTCAGTTTGGCATCTTATCTAAAATGATTCTCCAAAATGTGTAGTAGTAGTAGTAGCAGTAATAATAAATAATACCCAAACAATTGATTGACTCTCACATCACAGAGAGAGCATTCTAGGATGAACCTTAGGGATGGAAGACTAAAATTGGGGGTCATCAGCAAATAGGAATATTTCAAGTCATGGGTCTGTATGAAAATAAACATGGGAATCCACGTTTAGGGTACAGAAGCAGAGTATGGTTTGGCATAGTTCTCAAAGAAGGAATATCCTATCTTCTTGTGTTTTCACCAGGCTTCACTTTGTCAAAACAGATCTATCCCATTTTTCAATAACTATATCTAATTACCACATTTCCAAGATTCTAACTTGTTCTTTCTATTATTACTATTATTCATTTTGTTAACAGTTTAAAATTAAAGACCCTTTCCTCCCCTTTTCTCTTCTCCCTCTCCCCACCTCGGAAAAATTGCTATTAATTGGCCCATTTTACTTACAATTGAGAAAATAAATGCACTAGCTGCATGTGATTTTGCCTACAGGGTAAAAACATCCAGCTCTTACAGCCTAAAACTTCTCTTGCAAAGGGCTTCTTCGGGTAGTATCCTACTGGTGACCTCAAATTTGTGGGAGTAATAGGGGGCTAACCCCCCTTTTTTCTTTCCTTCAGAAAACAGATTAGATACTAGGCGGCTCTAGAGCTCGTCTGAAGTCTGTAGCGGGATCACATAGAACCCACAGCCAGGTCTTCCAGCACCCAATCTTAAACTGGACTTAACCTACCAAGCTCTGAGATGTGCCCGTCTCTATCTGCCCCGCAGCAGAGCAGAGACCAGCACAAGCTACCCCATGAAAGGCTTCTGGCCTCACCCTCAGTCCCCAAGGTCAGCGCCCACAGCATATCCTTGCCCTAACCGCCTGCCTCAGGTTCTGATCGCTTACGGGTAGTTCGCATCCACTGGATCAGCTCTGGGAGGTCTGCGGGAGCCACCGTACGTAGTAGCTGCAGTACAGCTTGCCTCGCGGAGCGGAAATCCATGTTGGAGCAGAAAGCTGAGCAGGAGGAAGGTTCGCACTGCGCAGGCGCAGGCAGAGGCGGGTCCAGACACCTGATTCGGCGCGGGGTGGAACCCGCCACCCTCGGCTCCGAAAGGCCTAAGTCCCGCCCCTTCTATGGAGTTCTCACGTGCTTTCGGGAATCTCTACCTTCCATCGCATCCCCCATCTATCATAATTCTCTTTTTTAACTGGTGGTGCTCCGCCAGGTCATTTTTTCTTAAGGTGGCGCCTGGCGGCCGGACTTCTTTCTTGAGATCGCATCTCTAGAGAGCCTCCGATCTTAATACTAACTTTAATGCCGCAGTTACTGAGCGGTAGAAAACTGCCAAAAGCCAGTCAAAGCAAAGAAACATCTCAAGAAACCCTTTCAGTAAAAGCACTGAAGGAACGCGGCGGGTGCCCCGGAAGCGGAAGTGTGTTCTCTTCAAGAAAGGCTGGACTACGCCGAGTGGTGACGTTTCCTCATTGGGCGGAAGGTTCGGTGGCAGTCGTCGGTCTTCCAGCTGGTGGGAGTTGGCGTCGCAGTGCTGGGCGCTGGGACCCTAGTTGATATAGTTTGGGAAGTTGGGCCGTGGGGTCGCAGTTGTCTGTCTGATCCTCCTTTTCCGTGGTTTCCTCCCACGGTGTGGGGCTTCGGGAAGGACTCCCCGGCCCCTTTGGGCCACGGCGGTAGCGGTGCCTTTTGCGGTAAGTGTCTGCTTTTTCCCGCCGCAGACTGCGGACTAGCAGCTAGGAGCAGCCCCAATCCTGCTTAGGAAGCCAGACACTCCGGAGGGAGTCGGCTTCCTTGACCGCTGGCTGTCGTCACCCAGACAGAGGTGCTCCGGCCCATTTTCATGTCTTGTCCCCATCAGAAGTTTTATTAAAGGATGCGCTGTGACCTTTTAAAATTGTCTCCGAATTTACCTGAGCCAAATTAGACGTAAGCAATTGCAGGCCTGACTCTGTTTTGCTGACTTGACCAAGAATTTTGATGTGGTTACTTACCCGAAAATCTGCCGTGTACCAGATTTTATTTTTCCATGTTAACTTGTGCCTAATTAATGCAGTGTCCTACATATAGTAGGCGTTCAATAAATGAATAAGAAATATCAGCCCATTGATGACTTAAAATATGCTGATGGCTCTCTCCGTAGCGTATGGCACTATTCTACTGACCATTTCTTGAAACTCTTTCCCCTCTTGGCGTTCTTGGTGCTGTTCTCACCTAGTTCTTTCATATGCTTCATTGAACAATGTATTTACTCATTCTTAACCATAGGGATACAGAAATGAATGACGAACCCTAGTATTGAGGAGCTAACAGTAGTACAGTGAGAGAGAGGCACATAAACATACATTATATCAAGATGAGTAATGAGAAACTAGTAGGATATAAAGAGCAGTGAGAGCTATGGAAACACAGAGGAGAGTGTGCTCCTTATATTTGTGACCCTGAGCAAGTTTCTATTCCATTCTCGCCTCAGTTTCCTCACCTACTTAATAAGCCTCGTATAAGGATGAAAGATTAGGTAACATGTTTGGTACAGTGCCTAGAATATAGCAGTGGTGGCACCAAAGAGGAGGGGACTATTTCCTTCAAACCTCTTTCCCTTGATATTTTGATGTGGTCAGTTAGTATTTTCCAACTGAAAATAAAGTACTGTGCAAAAACATCTTCAAGCTCTCTTTAAAACAGGTAACTCCTGTAATTCTCCCTATCTGAAAATTCTGGACCTGCCATATATAGTAAGTAAGTATGGAATATAGTAAGATAACCATAAGTGGTAGCTTTTTTTTTAAATTGATATTCTTCTGTATGTCTTTGAAGAAAGAGAATTAGTAAAGCTTCTGTCCTTTTGATAATTTTCAGTTTTAGTTGACTCTCTTTTAATTGGCACTTCACCATCACTATAACCCAGATGCTCTCCTTGAGAGTTCTCTTATACTTCCATGGTATTACCCTTGGGATGCCAAGCATTTCCTCATCTTTTTCTTTAGCCTCTGTCTCATGAATAACATAGTTCCTTGGTTTCTGCAAATACAACAGATCTAACACCAAATTCACTCTCTCCAAATGAACGCCTATATACTCAATATCCAGCCTAGTATCAGAACATTGCAAATAACCTTTAAAGCCCCTTGTACCTTTTCTCTTTAACTTTCAAACCAGCTTCTCATTTTGCCTTCCATTCATTGTTTAATGGCATCACTAGCTGTCTGGTTATTCTAACTAAAGACCTTAGAGTCATTTTTGCCTCCTGTTTCTCTCCATTCTCCATAGCCATTTGGTCGTTAGGTCCTATACATTCCGCTTTACAGTTAGCCCTTGGCCTGAGCCCCTTCCCTCCATTTTGTTCTGCTCCCTTACTTCAAGCCCCCATCTCTTGAATAGACTTGTGGAGTATGGTTAGCATACTTGCTTAGTATCCTTATGCATAGTATCCTTGCTCTCAAGTTTTTCTCCCTTTAATGTATTTGCTACATTGTCTCTAATTTTTTAAATTATAGGACAGATTTTTCATTCCCCTGTTTCCTTTGAGGAGTATTGCTTCATGCAGTGATTATTAACCCTGGCTGCACATCAGTATAGCCAGTGAAGCTTTTCAAAATATAGATGCCTTGTTTTGCTCTCCTAATAAGAATTAAGATGAGGCTACTTCCCGGAAAATCTTCTGATGTTACCATCCTTGGAGATTCTGACTGAGTATTTACTTTTTCACTGACAGATGTTAGCTGCATATCATGGAAATTGCCCATTGCTTGAGCATATGCCTCTTATCCCTCCTCATCCATATTTTCAGTCTATATTCTTTTCAACTTCAAGGCAAACTATTTCTAGGGAATTCTTTTGACTTAGTTTTAATTTTCCTCTTGGTAATAGTTTTCCATAAAGATTATTTTTATGATTGACCTGATAGGCAAAAAGTATCTTAAAGAAATGACGTCCGGTGTATTTGAGTATTACCATTGTTGCTAATTGAATTTTTGGTATACCTCTTCTGCTATTGAACCATGAAGTGTTGCAGTGGTTTTATTTTTAATAGTAAAATGAGTTTTAAAAATTGAAAACAATTATTTTTAATGTAGAGAGAACTTCCTGATGCTTCTTTGGTGCAAACTTAAGGCAGAGAAGTCAGTGGTGGTATGAGGCATAATTTATCTTCTGCAGTTAACAGAGGAGTCTTGTCTTCATTAACTTGATGTAATTTATTGATTGAGAGTTAGAACTTTTCTTATGCTGGTAGAATTCCTGGAGCACATAGTAGGTGTTTAATGAATGACTAAATGGTACAAGTGGCAACTCTATCTTAACTTCTAGTATAATATTACTCTAATTTTCATGAAGAGCACTTTGAAAAATAATTTTCCCCTTGACTTAAAAAATAATACTCTTAGGGGGATGGGTATAGCTCAGTGGTAGAGTGCATGTTTAGCATGCACAAGGTCCTGGGTTCAGTCCCCAGTACCTCCCCTAAAACAATAACAACAAAAACCTCTTAGTACCAAAAATTTGGAAATTACAAAATGATATAAATAAGGAAATGAAAATTACTAGTTAGTCACCATCCAGAGGGGCAAATGTTAATATTTTCTAACAATTTTACTGAAATAAAATTTGCATACCATAAAGGTCACATGAAGTGTACAATTCCATGGTTTTTAGTGTATTTACAGAGTTGTGCAACTATCATTGCAATCAATTTTAGAACATTTTCGTCACTCTGTGAAGAAACCCCATACCCATTAACAGTCTTTCTTCATTTTCCCCCAATTCCAAAGCCCTAAGCAAATGTTAATCCACTTTCTTGATTTTTCTCTTGCGACATTTCATGTAAATGGAATCATATGTGGTCTTTTGTCACTGGTTTCTTTCATTTAACATGTTTTCAAGATTCTTCCACGTTGTAGCGTGTATCAGTACTTCATCTCTTTTTATTATAAATAATATTCCATTTGGTGAATATACCACATTTTAGTTATCCATTCATGGGTTGGGGGATATTTGTTTTTTCTTCCCCTTTTGACTAGCATGAATAATGCTGCCAGTGACCATCAAGTACAATTCTTTGCTTAGATGTGTGTCTTCCTTTTTCTTGGATATACCTGGGAGTAGAATTGCTGGACCATATAGTAACCCTGGTTTAAAATTTTGAGGAATTGCCAAACTGCTTTCCAAACAGCTGTACCATTTTGCATTCCCACCAGCAGTGCATGAGGGTTCTGATTTCTCCACATTCTCACCAACACTTTTTATTACGTCTTTTTGATTATAGCCTTCTCAATGTGGGTGAAGTGGTCTCTGATCGTGCCTTTGATTTACATTGTCCTCCAGGCTAATGCCCCATTTTTTGGATGTTTGTTTATAGACAAAATATGGATTATACGATATGTGCAGTTTTGTAATCTGCCTTTTGCATTGAAGCATATTTATAACAGTAGCAAGCATATTTACAAAAGATTTTCCCTCATTTCTACTGCTTTCCTCTTCACTCCCCCCAAAACCATAATTCTTGTGAAAACTTGCCTAAATTATATACATAAAAAATAAAATCTAGGGGAATGTATACCAAATTATGATTGGTGGTTATCAGGAGACAAAAGTGGGTAGGGTTAGGGGAATTATATCTTCTACCTTTAATATTTCTGTAATGTTTGAATTTTTACAATGAACGTGTATCCTCTTGCAATCATAAAACATAAAAGTGAATTATTTCCTTGAAATATACCTAAATTTAAAAGTCATAATTAACATTATGTTAGTTACTCAGATATAATCATTTTACCAAATAAAATACTAATAGGCCACTTTGTTAAGTAATTTACTTGTATATGGTTCTACACTATGAATAAATATGCTATACAGAATTTTAAAAATATATATATATACATTTAGTGCTATAGTCAGGAAAGCAAGTATTGGTTTGGGCTATGACTATTTTATAGAAAAGTATATAAAGTAGAAGTCATTTTTTCCAGAGATATTTACTAATATTAGTATATTTGTATATTTAGTTCTGTAGTCTAATATTGAACCAATAAGTTAGTCACTGACTAGGGCTTAAACTCTTTAATAGGGGTTTTCATTATAATAAGATTTGAAAACTCTAATCATTAGAATCTGTTTATATAATCTCAAATTAAATCAGACAGGGTTCTGGCAGTAGTATTTATAATTGTTTATGTAGAGAAAAGTGGCTGTTTGAACACTCCAACTTCTATTGAAGGTACATGTAATTGGCGCTAAATGTTAAAAATTCCACGTGGGTGGTTCCTGACTGGTGGAACAGGCACTATAGTGGTGTTCAGAAGATTTCTAGTTTACTCACATTTCAGATAATATTATAGGGAGAGCCAATTGATAGTCATTCAAGAAAAGAAGGAAGTTAATGCTGTGCCCTTGCAGACAGTTTTATACATATTGTCTCATTTAATCCTCACAACA